GAATTTATTCCGTATATACCAATTATATACTGCGATATATATATATATATATATATATATATATATATATATATATATATATATATATATATATAAATAGCTTTCAAAAGGCGTGCCTGTGGGTGTGCGTGTGTACATCAGTGTGGTAGTTGGAGTGAAGAGCCGTGAGCCTATTATCCAAACATAACTACCTTTACAAAATGGCAGTTCAAAAGACCGACTCAGCTTTTCCTAATAATAAACGTTAATGAATTATTGTTAATCCGAATGGATTTTCAGTGCGGGTATCGTGTTAAAAATGAAAAAGAAAAACTATGCGTACACGCCAACGGATATGACATGGCACCGTACCACAGGAGGTCACATGCAGAATGTCTTGGATATCTGACGAAATAGTATCCTACTGAAGACTCGCCATTTTTCCTCCTCTTCTTTCTGATAACTTCGGCGCCATCTAGCGAACATTTGCTAAATCAAGATGACCGTCAATGCGCATGTCTAAGCCACATCTAATCACTCAACTTGGCATTTTCTTTCTGTATTTTCTCCATTGAATTTCTTTCCTCTTCTATCTAAGCCCAACGGCACTTTACCGGCCGCTCCCCAACCCGTCCATTCCTTCTCCTATGCTCCCTGGTCCAATCACCGCACATCGTTCTCAAAATGAAAAGATCTCCAATCAGCGCAGAACCGAAGCCGATAATACATTTCCGATTACTTTTCTGTTCCATTCGATACCTTTTCATTTATTTCTACCTCCCCCCCATTCACTGTCTTTCGTTCCTCTTCCTACATACTTTTTACTCAATGCATCAAATCTATTCACTTTCATTGACTGTCTTGTACTATTCATCGATCAAAGTGTGAATATCCTTGTCCACATCTCTCTGTTTCGCTCTGTTTATGCCAGTGGATTCATTATCTAATTCTTTTTGAATTATCTATCTATCTTTTTTACTTATACTTTATTTTTATTGGATACTCGCATTTTAGTAGACGTCACGTTATTTTATTAAATAGTATATTTATTGTCGTCTATCGACTTGAATGTTGGATAAATCTCATTCAAGAAAAATGTGCTTTTTTTTTCAAGTAGATGAAAATAAATATAGAATTTAATAAATGAACGGAGCTTCAACTCAAATACGAAAATCCACTAAAAAAATAATGTTTAAGTAATAAAATCTGTCGGATTAATAAATAAAAACTCCATGACTTCTTTTATATATATATATATATATATATTATATATATATATATATATATATATATATATATATATATATGAAGAAATATACTCTTAAAGTGAGCAATATTTATAGGATAAAGTACTCAATATCAGAGATAGAGTGTAAATAAAAGTGAACATTTGAAGTCAACACTTAGAGGCGACAGGCTGTTTCATACTAGATGCAATCAAACAGCCTGTCGCCTCTAAGTGTTGACTTCAATGTTCACTTTATATATATATATATATATATGTGTGTGTGTGTGTGTGTGTGTGTGTGTGTGTGTGTGTGTATACCTAAAAATATAAATATAAATCTATATTTATGTGTATGTGTCTGTGTGCATATATATGTGTGTGTAAGTTTCTTCACCTCACTCCCCTATATATATATATATATATATATATATATATATATATATATATATATATAGTTAAAATTCTCTCTGCTGTGTCACGATAGCCTAGGGGTAGGACCTCTGAGTGATGACAAATCGGCCGGCTTGAATTAATCGCACGTCTAGCCACACTGAAGAGCTGTGATACAGCGAAACAGTCTATCTTTGGATAACAATATATATTATCGAGAGGGTGATTTTGAGCTCTTTTGAGAAAAGGGTGATTTATGACGCTTGTATTGTATCGTAACTATCCAATTCCGATTCTCGGAAGTGGATACACACTGCTGATGAGACCCAAATAAACATTAGGCATTCTGTTGAGGATTCTTCTAGACTCGATGAATTACTACAATGATATATATATATATATATATATATATATATATATATATATATATATATATATATATATGTATATAAGTCTCTTCCCATTCATCTATTTATCTCTCTGTCTCTCTCTCTCTCTCTCTCTCTCTCTCTCTTAGCATTGCAGCCAATGTATACTAAAATGCTGCCAATGACAAAGGAGAAAATGAAAAATACCTGACAACAAATCGAATAGAACCTCAAAATTTAAATTATTTTTGTTATGTAACTAAATGCATAATTGTCAACAATGTTTCCGTAAAACTTTATATTTCCTGTAATAATTTCTTAATAAATATTATTATTGTTACTATTTTACTTACAATTCCTTACGGCTAACCATGAAAAGAAATGTTGATCAAAACAGCTGCAAAATTATCAAATGTTGAATACGCCCCACCTCCGCCGAACGCGTCATATATACTGGAGGTATGGAACATATGCTTGCTTTTGGGAACGCATTCATTGGTCTTCCTGTCTGAATAAGTAATCATTAAATTATAGTAATATATTCTTCTTCGTGTATGGATATGCGCACGTGCTTCGTCGTCGTCGTCGTCATCGTCGCCATCGTCGTGGTGATATTATTATGAATATTATCTTTATTTTATTTCCTTTGATTTCTGATGTGCACTCATTTCTTTCCAGGTCCCGCCCAGGGACCCAAGTTTAGAAATGGCATCATGACATTTTCCATTAAAATTTTTTTTTTTATACATAGATAAAGCCCTTCGTAAGGTGTGAGTCGTACTCGTGAGAACAATTTTTTATATTTCTTTAAGGCGTAGGCTTCCAGGGATGCCTTCAGTTAGTCTACTGGAATCTTTTCCAACTAATCTGAGGGCTCCAACTACAACGGGGAATGTTGATGTTCCCATGTGCCATATTTTTGATATTTCGATTTCAAGGTCCTTGTATTTTGATAGCTTTTTGAAGATTTATTATTATTATTATAACTATTTTGATTTCCTTTGATTTCTGGCGTTTACACATTTCTTTCCGGGTCCCGCCCAGGGACCTAAGGTTAGAAATGGCATCATAACACTTTGCACTGACAAAAAAAAAAATGACATAGATAAAGCCCTTCGTAAAGTGTGGGCACTACTTGTGAGAACAATTTTTTTTATCTCTTTGAGGCATGGACTTCCAGGAATCCCTTCAATTAGTCTACTAATCCTAAGGCTCCAACTACAACAGGGATTGTTGATGTTCCCATGTGCCACATTTTTGAGATTTCTATTTCAAGTTCCAAGGTCCTTGTATTTTGACAGCTTTTTGATTATTATTATTATTTGTAAGTATTATTAGTAGTAGTAGTATGTGGTCACCTTTTACAGAGCGTTAACGACCTACTTTGACAGGGGTATTGTTAATGAGTTCAATTTACACGGCGTGCCTGATTAGTGTTTCTAAGTGTTCAGCTCGGCTTAGTAATTAGCAGATGATAGTGCGTTTCGAAAAGAGATGGTTAACGATCTGAACTCGTAAGCCCAATGCTAATAAATACGATACTTCATTTGTACTAAACTAATATCTACCTTTTACTTTTAATTTCTTACTTCCTCTCATCACTTCTTTTGTTCGTTTGGTCTTTTTATTATTATTATTATTATTATTATTTAAGTCTTCTTTTTCAATACTGCTTCTATTCCCTTTTCAATACTGCTTCTATTCTCTCTGTACCTTTCTTCTTCTTCTTCTTCTTCTTCTTCTTCTTCTTCTTCGTTTACTACCTATTCTTTTTTTCTTTATTATCTCTTTTTTTCAATACATTTTCTCCTCCTTTATCATTCCATTCTTCTTCTTCTTCTTGCTTGCAGTCATATCGCTAGGAAAAACTACCGTTTTACCCGGCATGCTTTACCGCTCGGACGGATTTATTTTCAATCCCCCCCCTATATATATATATATATATATATATATATATATATATATATATATATATATATATATATATATATATATATTGAAAAGGAGAGAGAAACCGCAAACATTTTTGCTTGTAATGTGGATTTTTAAAAAAAATATTATGCTTTATTTTCCATAATTTTGCTACACGCGTTTCCAGTCTCGCGACCGTCATCAGGCAAAATGTGGAGATTTCCACATATTATTAAAAGAAATTAATTTTTTCTTATGTTTTTCGATGTTAAATATTCTCGATATGAGACATTCTCTTTTTCATGTGTTAGTGACCCAAATGTCTTTCTTGAATTGGCAGTGAAAAGTTCTGCGTGAAGGTTTATAAAACAATTAAGATTGGCCCGAAAAATGGTGAAGGAGTTATCGGCATTCTTATCTTTTAATGACCCCTGTGTATCCTTAGATCTATTTCCATTTCAGTGTGTTTTTGTCAGCATGCGTGTCTATATGTCTATATTCCTGTCTGATGACGGTCGCGAGATCGGAAACGCGTGTAGCAAAATTATGGAAAATAAAGCATATTTTTTCAAAATCCTCATTACAACCAAAACGTTTGTGGTTTCTCTTTTCTTTAAAAATGCACACTTTTCTCTCGTTGGAATTACTATAACCTCTTCCTTATATATATATATATATATATATATATATATATATATATATACGACGCGTTCGGCGGAGGAGGCGCGTATTCAACAAAAAATCGAAAATTGCTTTTGCACTATAGATTATTCCTTATGTCATATCCAAGTATTTTACCAAAATACTTAGAACCGATTGCGCAATATTTCAATATCAATTTAAGTATATAGTTCGTAACCATGCAATCAGATGAGATTACATAAACGCTAGATTTGTCTGCGGTATACGATTGCATTATTATTACATAATTAAGTCTTTATTATTATTACATAATTAAATTTTCTTAAGTTTTTTTTTGTGGGTGGGGTGTCAAAATATTTTATTTTGGGTTTTCTTCTTCTTCTTCTTCTTCTTCTTCTTCTTCTCTTTCTTCTTCTGCTTTTTCTTCACTGTCTCTTCTTTTTCAATACATCTTCTCTTCCTTTGTTATTACCTCCTTCTTGCTTGCGCTGATATTACATTGAAATCCCCGTTTCCCATACGATCACCGAAGTTAAGCAACGTCGACCTTGGTCAGTACCAAGATGGGTGACTACCAGATGCTATAAGCTTGAATGTGTCGGTGATGTAATGGATAATGGCTCGGAATTGTTAATCGGACAACGTAGCCCCAGTTCCAGTCGGATTTGTTATATTCATTTACGTACAATTACCCTTGGAAAATATATGAATCTTCTTCGCCCCTCCAGCTATGGGTTAATTATTAGGACTTGTACCAGTGAATCATTATTATCTGAAAAAAAAAACCATAATTCTTACAATCTAAAAATATTTTCTGGATTTAGATAACCTTCAAAAGGTTGATAAGCCGTAAACAAAAAAAAATAAATCAAGCTTCTTAGTCTTCTTCTTCACTAAGATTTCTTTTACTCCGCCTCCTCCTCCTAATCCGTGTTTCTATTTTGAATCTCCCCCCCCCCAATCGATATTGAAAAACTCCTGTTTTCAAACTCGGACCTTCTGCTTTTATTATTTCTCACTCTTTGGATCTTTTTTTTTCTTTCTTTTTCTTGTTTTGTAAATTTCCTTCGCTTTACTGCCAATCCTAGTTCTTTAATCGATCAGCCAATCGACATTTCGTCTCGGCTGAGGTTTGACCAGCCAGACTAATAACATCGATAACTGAGTCACAGGGAACGGTTTGTTTAATCCGTATTTTTACAAGGTCAGCAATAATAATGATGATGAGGATTAAAAGGACGATCAAGTGAACAATGATGTGGGGAGGAGGTATCAGGAAAAGGGATAAAAAAAATCAACAGAAAATATGGAGGGGAAGATTACGATTGAGATGTAATGGGAAATGAATGAAGAGGGAGAGTGAGTTAAAAGATGAGTGGAAGAAGAAGAAGAAGAAAAAGAAGGAGGAGGAGGAGGAGGAGGATGTAAGACGAAAGAAGAAGACATGAACAAAAAGATTAAAAAGGAAAAAAATGGCCGAATGAAGAAAAACATCAGGAAGAAGAAGAAGAAGAAGAAGAAGAAGAAGAAGAAGAACGAACGAACGAATGGATTAGAATAAAAAATGAAAGAAGATTCGAGAGAAGATGAAGAAACGAAAGAAGATTCAAAAACAAAAATATTTGAAAGAATAAAAACACTCGAAAAAAGATAGTAATGAAACAGAAGAAAAGTGTCGAAAAATGGAGAGACGAAAATTTCATTAGAAGAAAAGAGTCGAACGAAGAAGAAGAAGAAGAAGAAGAAGAAGAAGAAGAAGAATCGAATGAACTAGAAGAAAAATGAAAGAAGATTGAAAAGATGCGCTGTTGGGGAAAAATGACCATGAAAAAGAAGAAAAGAGTCAAAAAAAAAAAAGAGGAACGAAAAAATTCAAAAGAGAAAACTATCAAGTGGAATGAAGAAGAAAAGAATCGGGAGGAGCCGTGTGAAGAAGAAATTCGAATAAACTAGAAGAAATGATTTAAAGAGAGACGAAAATATTCGAAAAAAGAACATTCGGAAGAAGAAGTGTCAAATGAAGAAGAAAATTTGAATTTAGAATAAAAAAAAAAAGAAAAAAAAGAATGAGATATGAAATAAAGATGTACATGTATGGGCTAGAAATGCGGTTCTCAACATCGATGAAATTCACCCACAGGGGTGGAATTTTGAATTTTCAGGGATAAATTGTGACGACCGTAAGTTTACCGGGGAGGAGAGCAATTATAGAATTTGGCCTATCTGGACTGTCACCTTGAAAAGGAGGGAAGGATGGTATTCTGGCTAATGGTGAAAGAGGTGCAGGATCAAGCAAGGTTGAGAACCCCTGGGCTAGAAGATGAATATAAGCGTAACAAAAACAGTTGGTTATAATGAAAGAAAATAGAAAAAAAATAAAAGAAGAATCAAAGAAAATACGAAAAAGAGACGGCAAAGAAGAAAGAGAAGCGCCAAAAGAAAAAGAAGATCAAGGAGAAAGAGATAAAGAATTGGAGTAGGTAGAAAAAGAGGAAATAGAGATAAAGAACAAGAAGAGAAAAAGAGAGAGAGGAAAAGATTAAGAAGGAGGAAAAATCGACGCAAAATCAGACGTGAGGTACAGCTGAAACGCGCCAGAATGAATTGGCAAAATATTGGGAATGGCTCTAGCCGTCCAATATCAAAGCATTCCAAGGAAATTATATATCTTAGCAGAATAATCAAAGACAGACCAAATTCAGCAAAACCGAATGCGTCATAAATATAAAGCAAGCTTTGATCACATCGCTGAAAGAGTGTCCAATCCCAACAAACTACATTTGTATCATTGTAACCGTACGACAAAACATCAACCTACATTAACTTGAAAAATCATAAGCAAAAACTTCCTGAGTCTGAAAATAAAAAAAAAACAAACTTGTCATCAAGAAACGTTGTTAACAAAACTGTTTTTAGCGACTGATCTACATGTCTACAAGGATAAAACATTAATGGAGCGTTGTTATCTTAGTAAAGGGGAAACAAAAGAAATAAAAGAGACTTACGACGTGTAAAATAACGGACGGGATAACATCAATAAAGGAAATTGGTCAGCGGCTCAGATTAAACACAAAAAAAAATGTCGGCTTGCGAAACAAAGCCGACTACACATAAGAATGAATTTTATTAGACGGGGTCTTTTAATCATTACACGTAACGTACAGGAGATGCGGAATGTGTAACGCTTAGCGACTCGGAAATCGGCGAAGAGAGTTCGAATTCCGACTGAGTTCGTTATGTTCACTTTCGTACAAATAAGCTTGGGAAAGTTATGTATTCATCTCTATCCCTCTGAACTCCCAGGTGTGGATTAAAGAGTAGAGTAGATAGAAATTTCTAGCCTTGGTAGGCAACCAGTTTAAAAGAAAAACAATTTTCAATAGTAGTAGGCAGGTTTATCTATCGCCCGGTTCACACGCCTCCCTGGCTTTTTGAACAGATGTAGAGGTTTATCCCTTGTTTCCGGTTTAGGATTTGGTTTCCAGTTCATCTAGATGCCACTTCAACTCAATACTTCTAACGTCTACGCTTGAAATTTTTACTAGAACAATTACGACTGAGTAGTGAGTTCGATCCTCACTGGGCGCCCCCTACTTTTGGCCTTGTGCCACATCTAAGCTACGCCTGGAAAATCACTGTACATTTACATAGATTAGTTTATAGAGGAGTTTTACAAATTTTATATCAATAGAAAATGTCGATGGATTTTTAAACTTGAATACATATACAATAATTTGTGTTAATTCAGAACTAATTATTAAATAAATAAACAGAAAAATACTTCAAAAAACAAAAATTTCTATAGAATGTCAGGGTATAATGAAATATGCATACACCTGAGTTCCCCCTCACTGGAATATGATTGGCTGGTGTCAGTCATAAATACAGACGGTCGTGTAGGTACAACAGAGTTTAAATCTATAACGACGCCTATTGGACTACACCATTGGCTATCCTATTGGTCTACACCTAATAAATGCGACTACGATGAGTACCAGTTGATTACTGCTGCCGTTTACTACTTGCTTACAGTAGCCAAACCCCTTAGCTACTTCGATCGAATATATCCCTTTCCGGGACATATCAGTATTTTAATTCAGTAAACAACATTCTGATTGTTTTAAAGCAGTGGTTCCCAAAAGCTGTGACGCGCTTCATAGGTGCAGCGGAAGAGGATAGCAGGTGAGGCGGAATGATTGAAAGAAAACCAAAGATTTAGAAACAGATTAAAAAATTTCATATGCCAAAAATAAATATGATTTCAACATTTAAAATATTATGAATTACTTGTAATTGCATGCATAAGTCCCAGTATAAATAGTTATAAATAATTATTGGCTGATTTTATCACTGTGATATTTTTGCATTATATCAAGTATTAAGAACATAGTAACTAGGCTCTGCAAATTGGAGGAGAGAGTTATCAATGATAATGTTCTGACTTCGAATCCGTGGTTACCTCCCTTTAACCCTGTCTCTCTCTGTCTCTCCTTCTTTCTCTCTCTCTCTCTCTCTCTCTCTCTTTTATTTTTTTATATATACTTTTTATCACATGAAATTTGGTGAAGTGTGAGCAAATTTTCATTCCGAAATTGCGGCCCAGAGAAAAAATAATTCGGAACCATTCTATTAGAGAATCATATACTGGAAAAGCTTACGTTCAGGTGGTCTGGTGCAGTTTGACGGAACCTTTCCTCATCAGTGAAACAAACTGGACTGTGTAATTCGTTAAACGGGAAGAGCTTCACAAAGGGAGATAACTTAAAATCACTAGCGAGTACAGAGTAGCAACATAAGCCCCGAGCTATGAATATCGTTGGAAGAACAAGTCGGAAAAAAAATAATATATGAAAATAAAATACACAAGGGTACGAGAAAGACAAAGGGCGATTTTTTTTTTGTCGCGAAACTGGTTGGAACTGCAGTGAAAAACGAACAGGAAATGAGCTACAAACATTCGCCATGATATATAGTCAGCTATATTTCAAAAGTGTGGACGGAATTTCACAGCTTTTATTTTGTCGAGCTGCAGGCACGTTAGTTGAATAATAAACTTGATGCCACAGATGTGAGGAGAATGGGGAGGAGGAGTGTTTAAAAGTGAATTCAGTAGCAGTAAGATTTAGATACAATTCAGGGCCGATGACTAACCCCATCAATTGAAATGACATGATAATTACAGTTGCAGCCCTTGTTATTGTGTCTATTCTTAAATTGATTATAAAGAAACAGTCGTTTCTTTCTAAAATCACTAAGAAAACTCATGTGAAAGGCGATGTAGTTCTATTTATGCTTTAAAAATAAATGATCTTTTAGATTCTTTGTTATACACACGACATTCACACAACACACGTAAACTATTTACATCCCAGTAGAGATCCTAATATTGTTACCATATTTGGCTTGGTGCTTCTGCTATGTATTTAGAGATTCTTGGTAAAATGCAAAAAACAATCTGCAATGTTATTGGTCTTGACCTGAAATCTCGGTTTCAGTCACTTTTCCACCGCCTTAACATGGCTTCCCTGTGCCTTTTCTAGAAATATTTTTATGGTAATTCATTCTGGTGAGCTTTCCTCTTTGGTACCGAGAATTTACAAATTTAAGCGCAGCACTAGATTGGCGGAAAAGTCTGATCATCTAACAGCTGAAATGGCTGGAGGCAATAGTAAGTTCTATGCTAATAGTTTCTTCTCTCGCACTACTCACTTGTGGAACTCGCTTCCGGATTCATAAATTGCTAATAGCAATGTGTATATAAGCACTGATTTTAAAACTATTAAAGATACAGATCTAATACTTGGGATATATTGCATCCTCTGGCCGATAACATCAAGTTCACTTTCCAATTGGGGTCTCATGGTCGGAAAGTGGTTATATATATATATATATATATATATATATATATATATAGGGTGATTGAAAAGTATCTTCCCATTATAAAATACTTATAATTTATTTATTAACTATAATTTTTACAAGAAATCGATATGAGAGAAAAGCGTTAAGCATGAGTTTTTATTTAGAATTCAAAATGGGCACCAGATTTGGTAACCAGCACCTCGAGACTTCCAAGAATCGTATCATGTGATTTCACCAGGAACTTTTGCGGTATGAAAGGCATAGCTTGTTGTATTCGACCTTCCAGTTCTTCCAAAATCCTGGTTTGGTATAGTAGACTTGCTCCTTTAACGAACCCCAAAGAAAGAAGTCACTATGAGTAACGAACAAAGCACACTGGGTCCTAAAGCCTTGGGTGGCGAACGGTCTAGGAGAAGGACAACTCTGAATTCAAAACCTGCGGAGGGTCGTTTAATGGCCTGGTAGCATACTATGCGCCAGTTCACTATATTCGACTCTTTCGAAAAGTGTAGTTTGTTCTTCACAAGCCTTCGCCATTATAATCAAATCATATGTGCGGGTAATAGAGCGAGAACTGAGCTGCTTGACCCTCGAAAACGACGGAAGCCTCCTAAGTGTGTGTGTGCATATATATATATATATATATATATATATATATATATATATATAGTTTATGAAAATAGGTAATCCGTATGGGTAGACCCAAGGAGGATGATATCTAGAGAGCTCAATGTAAATTCAGAGCAAATATGTTTGAATAAAAACAGACCACTTTAAGGTTCCATGTAATAAGTTATTTCACCACAACCCTTTTAAAGGGCTCTGGATCATCAGACTTTACTTCCAAAAGTTGAAATGAAAAATGAAAAGAAACTTACACATTTTTGACGGACCGCACCAAGCATATGTAAAATTAACGAAGTGAGTAAGTGAGGGGGAAGAGAGGATATGAGTGAGTTAGATGTACCATTTTCAATTCTTTATCCTTAACCCCACTCTATGTAGGCTAGACGCCGCTTAACTTAACGTGTGCTATCTAGATATAGATGGGTAAGGGGTGAGGGAGAAGTACTGTTTGTTAGAGTTTTGGGTATTTTCTATGAAATAGTCGATTGGAAAAATTCATAGAAAGTACATTGAAAGAATAATCCATTTTATATCTAGTAATCTTTTTTATTTTCCTAAACTTTCTTATAGATTGTTAAGTTGACATATATTCGTTTGATTTTTGTTCATAAATTAAATTCGTGAATGTTTTTAGATACCTAATTATCAATGTTTATTCCAATTCAAATAATTTTATCATCAATAATGATTATTAAAGGATAATATATTTCAATTTAAATTAAATTATCAATTTAAAATTTACCGCCGTATTATTTATTTAAAACTTCAATTGGAGAATATTAGAGGAGAGAATTGGATAAAAGATTACTAACAGAAAATTAGGTCCTTCTTTACAATATTCTATATATCCGTACACATACTTTTTTCTTGTTGGTTATTCAGTTGACATCTATTCGTTTGAGTTTTGTTCACAAATTAAACTCGTGACTGTTTTTAGATACCTACCTAATTATTATCAAAGGTTGTTCCAATTTAAATAATTTTATCATCAATAATGATTATTAAAGGGTAATATATTTCCATTCAAATTAAATTACCAATTTAAAATTTACCTCCGTATTATTTAAAATTAATATTGTAAAAGAAGTACCTAATTTTCTGTTAGTAATCTTTTACCCAATTCCCTCCTCTAATATTCTTCAACAATCTATAAGAAAAAAGTTTAGGAAAATAAAAAAGATTACTAGATATAAAATGGATTATTCTTTCATTGTACTTTCTATGAATTTTTCCAATCGACTATTTCAGAGAAAATACCCAAAACTCCAACAAACGTCAAATTAAATTCTTCGTAGATTTTTAGACATTTAGATTTATATCAAACTTTAACCCCAAATATAGATTTTTTAAAGGAATGCGAAATAACAGCGTCTAAGAATTTGAGTGAATCCTGATCTCAGGGACATGATTTATTATTTTATTGTTAACTGTATCTTCCCCTTTGTCGGTCTTCTCCCAACCCCTTACCCATCTATATGTAGATAGCATACGTT